AGGGGGGTAGGGTGGGAGGAACAAGGGAGGGAATAGAGGCTGGGAAAGAGGTAAGAAGGACGGCTAAGCACAAGGGGGAGGGGCCGGTGCCGTGGCGTAGCCAGCAAAGCCATCGCCTGCGTGCCGGCTTCCCCTGTGGGCACCGGTTCATGCCCCAGCTGCTCCTCTTCCAGTCCAGCTCTCTGCTACGGCCTGCGAAAGCAGTGGAAGATGGCCCAGGAGCTTGGGCCCCTGCACCCACGTGGGAGACCAGGAAGAAGCTCCTGGCTGCGGATCAGCTCAGCTCTGAGAGTTGTGGCCATCTGGGGAGTGAACCAGCGGATGGAAGACCTCTCTATAACTCTGCCTCTCCAAAATAAATAAATAAACAAACAAATAAATAAATAAAATAAAGTTCGAGGCAGAGGGGCCGGGTGCCGAGCCGCCACCTGCAGGTGCTTGGCCCGCCCTCCTGTCTGTGTGGCTTTCACAGTACATTGCAGACTTTTCATGAGTTACCGGGGGGATACAGGCTTTCTGCAGAGTGAGTCAGACCAGCTTCACCATGACAGCAAATTCACTGGTTACTAAAAGTGAAAAGCCAACAGGGCCCACGCCATGCCTCAGCCTCTCTCCAGCTCCCAGCAGTGGTGTCGACCATGTGGATCCAACCTCAACAGAATCTCCGTATAATGGTCACAAAAAGGCTGCCCCAGCCCCAGCCCTTACATCCTGTCAACTTTGAATCCCAAGAAGAAGAGTGAGTCTTTATCCTGAGATTCTCTAAAAGACCGGGTCACAGGCCCATTTGTAAGCCAATTGCTAAGGCCCGGGGCTTTCTCTGCTCTGATTGGCCAAGCTTGAGTCACATGCTCATCTTTGCAGCCAGAGGAGGCGCCAGCCATGCTGGGGAGAGCCTGGGAGGAAGGGGTGGTCCCCAGAGGGGAATGGTGACCCGGGATATTCCAGAAGACAGGTGTCAGGGTGGGGCGGGGAATGTCGGCCCCCCCACGGGAGCCAACGTGTGCAAGTCCTTTTAGTTTACCGCTTGGATTGATGTCCTTTGGTGGAAACCTGGCTTGGCCGGCGCCGAGTCTCACTAGGCTAATCCTCCGCCTGCAGCGCCGGCACACCGGGTTCTAGTCCCGGTCGGGGCACCAGATTCTGTCCCGGTTGCTCCTCTTCCAGGCCAGCTCTCTGCTGTGGCCCGGGAGTGCAGTGGAGGATGGTCCAGGTGCTTGGGCCCTGCCCCCCATGGGAGACCAGGAGAAGCCCCTGGCTCCTGCCTTTGGATCAGCGGGGTGCCCCAGCCGCGGCGGCCATTGGGGGGTGAACCAATGGCAAAAGGAAGACCTTTTTTTCTGTTTTTTTTTTTCACTGTCCATTTTGCCTGT